GGGGAGACCTTAAAAGTACAGTGGCCCGGAAAAATCAATCATTCAAGTTGAATGATGTCAAGCACATTGTCAACACTGCTATATGTGACATTGACATTGCACGCTGGCATGCATGTGTTGAACATGTCAAGAAGGTGGAGAAAGAGTACTGGCTCAAAGATGGCTTGCAGGAGCAAACAGTTAATCCAGTTGTCATTCGTCTGGACACTGATGACTCCTCTGTGGAAGAATGGAGTGAACTTGATGAAGTTTAATTCTGTTATTATATTTACAGATAATAATAGTATCCAGCCAGATATGCTCAAAGAAATATAACTTCTTTTAACAATGACATCACTGACTACTTCCAACGACTTATAGCGTTACATGAAACACTCATTTCACATAAAATTATCATGAAAATATAAATATTAACTATCTATATGCTTCTACCCATTGAGACCGGCCGCTGGGAGGGCATAACCAGATAAAATAGAACATGTAAGTTATGCGACTCCCCCGCAATTGCTGATGAACTTCATTATTTACTGAGATGTAGTTACTTTAATGATATAAGACTAAACTATATTCCTTCGCAATACTTTAAATGTAAAAATCTGGCTACCTTCAAGCAACTAAAGTGTACAAAGAAAACAGCAGAATTGAAAAAGCTATCGATGTTTATTAATAGTATACTATCACACTTTAAATGCTAACTGTGCCCCATCTTGTCATTTTTTAAGTAATCAGATGCTTTTGTACTCTTGTACCACCGTTGGGAGGTTAAAGGGGAAATACAGAAGTTAAAGTTGTAGATATCGCGTGGTCAACACACGTGTTAAGTAATTAAAGAGAATGTTTGCTTAGTGATTTGCAAGTGACTATGCTTGTATCATGGATAAATTAATTAAAAAAGAGAATGTCTTTTTAACAATTTGTAAGAGAAGTAAAGTTGCAAGCAGAAGGATTACCATTTTGGAGTTTAACATGCAAAAACACCTGAAAGAAACAGAGAGCTTACACATTATTTTGTGATATTGGGAGTAGAAGGATTATCGAAATGCTGTTGAAAACATTTAGCATTTGGGTATATATAATAGATCATGATAAATTTGTTACCACTGCCACTCAACAATGCTAACTCTACTGATCTCAAGCACATTCTAACAAATCCCGAATTAATTAAACCACTCACTCAATATTTCATTCATACAAAATTATACCAAACAATCTAGCAACAAAAACAATAATACCACTTTTTACCACTTTAAAAATTGTTATAAATATGTATATATGTTCTTTTAACTTTTCAAATTAGTTCTCTCTTTTTATCAAGTTCATAACCTTTTATATGCTTACCATTATTCACTTAATAAATATGTTTTTAAACATGGGTTGGTTGTAAAAACAATAACAATAACCATTTACTACACTACATCTATCTCTATTACTCTTTACCTATTTCATATTTTTACCTGTTTAATTCGCCGCCAACCCTCAAATTTCCCTTAGTGCTCAATTGTTTTTTGGTTTTTCTTTGGGTGGTAACATCACTCTTTCAAAATTTCTATTTTTTGTTCCCCCTCATTTTTTAATAAGTGTACTACCCCGTCGCCGAAATACCTTAGTTGTGCGTGCGACGTTAAATAAAGCAAATAACTACTACTGTTACCACTGTCAAAATGACAAATGCTGTGGTGCGGGTTACATTGATTGACAACATTCATGAAGGTCAGAATCACACTGGGCGTGAAGTCACTCCTGTAGAACATCATCCCCTTTCCCCGGACTGTCGACAAGTAATTTGGACGGATTATTTGTTGTTGTCGACAGACCACGATCTACGCGATTTAGATACGAACACATATGTATCAACCAAGTCATGCGAGACAACCCGATAACGTTAGTCGCCTCTCACGACAAGCAAGGCGAACCGAATCAGTTTCATGAACCAATTTAGACATTGGCCTACTTTTCAGCCGATCCGAATTTCCTCGTGTGAAAGTGAAGAGACACACCATTATTTCTGTAAATATATTTGTACATATTGGAGATTATAAACACGTTGGAATAAAACTGTAAAAACAATTAAGAAAAGTGCTCTGTTGTCCTTTGACTACGTATTTACCAGCTTCCACTGCGTCCAACTTGGTTGACATCGTACAGTCCGCCTTCATATATCTGGCATATTGACGACGGACTGAATTAAACCGAAACAAGAATCTCATGATCGAACCAATTCAGACAATGACCTATTTGAGCCGAAGAGACACTGCAAACACCTGTGGTTACACAAAATTCCAATTCCTTATTTCATAAGAAAATGGTATTTACAAATGAATTTTAATTTTAAACTTTAGAAAAATCGTATTTCTATATTTTATGGCGAGGTTTAGGCAGCATGATAGGCTGCCCCTGTTTGATGAAGTCGTAAAATGATTCACAATTCATCTGGCTCACTGGTTACACATGTTATGTGTTCTTTGCGCTTATTACGTGTATTTGTGTAACGTACAATGAGATTGATATAATATCAAGGCTGTACAAGACCGCCAAACTTTTCTAGCGGCCGAGCCTCGTTTTGGGATTTCCACGATTTCCATATTTCCGTTTGTCAGTGCAGGCTGTACGACAGAGCAAGCGGCACGACGTGTTTGCAAGGATTAGAAGGAGCGTAGTGTTGCAATATACAAGTGATTAGATGTATCAAATAATACTGATTAATATTTATATATCCAGTTGAATGAGTTGGTCTAAAAATTCTGGACTGGTTATTCTACTAAGTTTCGTAATAGGACAGAACCCAGTCAGCAGGAAACGAGACTGTTGTGTAATCAATGTTTTGACGTGTTCCTGAAGACCAATTCTAGCCCGCATTTTCATGGATTGGAATGGAGTGGTAAAATGACACAGGCTTACAGAGTACACGAGTGTCTAAGCTGGAAGGGGCGTTGAAGGGACACTAGAAATGGGATTCACACATTGTACTCGGGTCTTCGGCGTGACGAGCGAACGCTTTAACCACTAGGTTACCCCGCTGCCCTACTACTTCAGACAAGGCAACCCACCAACCACAGCCAGATGAAGAAATAAGGCGTTCTTGAGCATATTTTACGTGGTATATTTGCTGGCACAAGTCATTGCCGAAGGAGCGAGTGAGTTTAATTTTACGCCGCTTTTAGCACTATTCCAGCAATATCATGGCGAGGGACACCAGAAATGGGATTCACGCATTTTACCCACGTGGGGAATGGAACCCGGGTCTTTGGTGTGACAAGCGAACACTTTAACCAACAGGCTACCCCAACGCCATTGCCAAAGAAACCACCTTAAAGTATACTGGAGAAACAACAGTTTATAGTTTTTAAAATCCGTATTGTAGGGCATGGAAGAGTCTGAGAGAATGATTTTTATGTGATCGATGAAAAATTGATTTAATCATGTTTGAAATGGCGTTGTTTTGAACAATGAACGTGCATAGCTCCAGTAGAATATCGACAGCCATTGTTACGTAAGGCTAGATCAATATTTTCATGGTAATACTATGTTTTTGTGTCTAAAAGAATTACTTTTACGAATTTTAGAGCAAATTATGATCAAGCTTTTTCTATAGTCATGGTCAAATATACTGATACTGCCTCGGTTTTAAGGGGCGGTGGGGTAGCCTTGTGATTAAACGTTCGCTCGTCGCGCTGAAATCCCGGGTTCGATTCTTCACATGGGTACATCCAATTTCTGGTGACACCCGCGGTGATATTAACAGAATTCTGCGTAGGGCCATAGACACTCGTCACATGCCAGTCTTTTAGTTAGTTTTACAGCAATGAGAGGACATTATAAAAAACAACATAATCTCTTATTTCAGCCGGTTTTTAAATCACATCTTTTTTTGTGCCGCCCCAAATGTGTACCGAACCGTGAAGATAAGAGTTAGAATTGGTCTTCAGTAAGCCATGCTTGTCGTAAGAGGCGACTAACGGGATCGGGTGGTCAGGCGCGCTGACTTGGTTGACACATGTCATCGTATCCCAATTGCGTAGATCGATGCTCATGCTGTTGGTCACTGGATTGTCTGGTCCAGGCTCAATTATTTACAGACAGTCGCCATATAACTGGAATACTGTTGAATTTCGTTAAACAATAACCAACCAACCAACTCAAATATGTACCATGATCTATAAACTAACAACTGAGATATACATGACTGTCTAATTTCTAGTAAGTCTTTGGTGCGTTATTGACAACAGTAAATGCATGTATGCCCGATCTTCGATCAGTATATATAATTCAGTAAAGAAATACTCAGGTTCACATTGGCATACTGGGTAATTAAACAAAGAGCTGTTTATGTACTGTCAATTGGAAAACTGTATAAATCTTATTTTGCGGACTTACGTAACAAAAATAACGTCAGATGCAGTTCCCTACTGTCACTCGCACCATACCTTCCCTTCTTTTGGGTGAATGTGAAGCCCATTTCTGGAGTCCCCCGCCGTGATGTTGCTGGAATATTGCTAAAAGCGGCGTAAAACCAAAACTCAGTCTCTCAGTCAGTCTTTTGGGTGAATAATTGACCGACCTTTGCATGTGTTTATGACGTGCCGCTGATAGGGCAGAATACGCTCACCTGATTTTATCATTATCTGACAGTGATTCATGAACACATTTAGTGGGAATTCTACCATCAACTCTGCCCTTGGCAGAAATATCTTCTGAGTGCTATATAACGCCGCATTCAACAGTATTTCAGTTATACTGCGGAGCGTCAATTTAATGTGGAAGAACAAAATAATACGAGTCCTCGATATAATGTAAAACCATTTCAGTGAAATCAACAATTATTTTTACTTTGTTTTCAGACAACTTTATTAAATCGATATTGTTTCGAAAAGTGCTTTTCGAATTATATCCAAAAAGCATCTTATGTTCTTAATGAACAAAACGTCTTTTTCATTTGGGATCGAAGGGTTCTTGGAACAATGTTATGTATCATCATTCGAGTTCACAAAAGTAATACGTACCTTTTATGACCTTCTCACAGCTGTTGCCATATAAACCAATAGCACACGCGCAGTTGGCGTCCTCACATTGCCTCATCTGTAAATGCATCTACACCTTATGAATACAGAATACAGAAGATCTATGTACATGCTGTTGATCTCTGGACTTTCTTGCCCAGACTCGATTATCAACAGAACGTCCCCAATTATTTACTGATCGCCGCCATATAGCTAGAATATTGCTGAGTGAGGCGTTGAACAAAGAAACCAACAAACAAACTTTGGTTACAGGGATGCTGGAAACACCTAATTAGTGGTTGGTTGGTTTGTTGTTTAACGCCGCACTAAGTAATATCGTGATCAAGAGCATGAGCATAGATCTACGCAATTGGGATACGATGACATGTGTCAACCAAGTCAGCGGGCCTGACCTCCCGATTCCGTAAGTCGCCTCTTACGACAAACATGGGTTACTGAAGACCAATTCTAAACCGGAATTCAATGAAACCCTGTAAGGAAATGGCCTTTGACGTGACTGCTGGGACATATTACAATATTATGTTATAAATGCAAGCCTGGATGTTCACTAGTCTGAAAACACTTAACGAAAACAACACAAAACCAGTCATACCTTCTGAAAACACGTGCATTCGCGTCCATCTGCCTCGTGGGGACAGTCCTTGCCATCCTCGTACATCTTGCACTGGCCGGACACGTGGTCATCCTCGCAGAACTTCACACGACGACAGTCAACGTCGTCAGAACATGTTTTGGCACATGTCATCAAAGCAACACCATCGATCGTGGTCTTCAGACCGACATCCAAGACTTCATCAAATACTTCAGTTTTACGAAAATTTGAAAATTTGTTTCCGCATCCAAACTTTATGGCTAGAAGCACGATCAAACAACCTATGAACCTCATCCTTGAGTTTAATTTTACATCAACAACAAGTTATTCAAAAGAGGAATATTCCCATACAGCTATTCTCTCGGTCCGCTTCGGTAATATGATCAGAAATGCGTTCACTGGATGCAACAATGGAAAAATCGAACATCACGTCGCCTGTTCTTGATTCAGGAGTTGACGTCAAGTAAGAAGAATGATTCGTATTCCTTTTAAAACGAATTATATGTAACGCTACTTGTAACATTTAAAATGTTTCACCGTGTGTTTGCCAAAAACATTTTTTGAAGTGTTTCAGAGATGGAACATCAAACACTCATACCGCCTTTGTGTCATGCAGGTATCTCTCTAAAAACCTGACTGTTTTTGAAAATTCCAATATGTAGCTCATTATTAATAAGGCACAACCTGTTTACGGGCGTGCTTTACACGTGTAATCTGCCTTATATAGAATGGCAACCTGAAACGTATATCTCGACCTTATAAAGAGCATAATTAATGGTTAAATTACTAGTATGAATTCAAGGTCTGATGAACGCCCGTGAGGTGTTATAGATTTATCGATATTTATGTACAAATCACAATAATCTCGCTTAGACTGTTTGTGCATTAAAATGAAGCATTACATTTGACTGAAGGATCAATATCTTTGATGTTGTGTGCCGGTGATTTGATATGATTATACAGAAGGGTATGGATAAATGTGCTGATAAATGTTAAAACCCTGTACACGGGACTGTTCTTCTGTATGCCGCAGAAATATTCGGTTTTGAAAATACGGAAAAGCTAGATACGGTGCAAATGTATGCCTGTAAGCGATTTGTGAATTGAAAACCTTCAGTTTAAAAAATGATGTACTGGGTGAATGCAGGAGTGGGTGAGTGAGTGAGTGAGTGAGTTTGGTTTTAAGCCGCTGTTAGCAACATTCCATCGATATCACGGCGGAGGACACCAGAAATGGGCTTCAAGCATTGTACCCATGTGGGGAATCGAGCCCGTGTCATCGGCGTGACGAGCGAACGCTTTAACCACTAGGCTACCCCACCGCGGGAACGCAGGTCCTGGAGATATCTAGTTATGCTCATACTGCAACAACCTGAGTAGAATACGTGGTTTAAAGTTTGACGTGTTTGCATGACGAATACGGACCTATAAATTTGGTAAAGGAATTAAGGACTTAACTCTTTGATTAGAATTTAAAGATATCTGGTCGTTTCAAATGTATGGAAAAAAAAAAATCTTTTTTTAATTTCAATTCCAAACAAATGTCATACTACGCCCAAATTAAAACTTCAATCCATTGTGAATAGTATTTAAATATCTGAACATCAAATGATTTAAAAACTACCATTTCTTGTTAACGTTTAAGTTAATTGGTATTGCTACGTGCCAAAACATTTTTTGTACATTAAATTGTAAAGTTTGTACATTAAGTTCTGTTGAAACAGCATCATTTTCTTCTTAATAATATGTTCACAAGGAAAGTGTGAGTGAGTGAAAATAGTTTTACGCCGCTTTTAGCAATATTCAAGCAACATCACGGCGGGAGACACTAGACATGGGCCTCACGCATTGTACCCATGTAGGGAATCGAAAGCGGGTCTTTGACTTGACGAGCGAAAGCTTTAACCACTAGGTTACCCCACCGCCCCACAAGGAAAGAAACATGTTTGAATAATTATCAATCCGTCTGTACTGTACTCATTACTCATTAATATCATTCTTTGAAATAAGCCAGCATGCATCCTCAGACGTACCAAAACCAACAACAAAATAAAACTTGTATTTTAGATAAACTTAATAATTATGCTAAAAAAATTTTTTTAAATAAAAACTTCAAATATGCGAACAGCATGTCACGCTTGCAGCCCTCGTAGTAGTTGTCCGACTCTCCATTGTTGTTGAGGCCTTAGGTTTGGTGCCGTCCGCTCTGTTAACTGACAGTGGAACAGATTCTGGGTTTGCTTCCGGGAACACAGCCCTTCTGAAACCCTGGGTAATACAGAAGGCTGAAGTGTTGGGGTGTCTACACTTTCCTAACTGTTCGGGGTGGGTTGGACCAGACAGTGCTCTCTGGGAGAGATCCCATTCACTGTCTGGGGAGCCTGGGTTTGCTTCGAGGAACATAGCCCTTCTGACACTCTGGGTAATACAGAAGGCTGAAGTGTTGGGGTGTGTACACTCTCCTAACTGTAAGGGGTGGGTTGGACCAGACAGTGCTCTCTGGTAGAGGTCCCATTCACTGTCTTGGGAGCCTGGATTTGCTTCCAGGCACATAGCCCTTCTGACACTATGGGTAATACAGAAGGCTGAAGTGTTGGGGTGTCTACACTCTCCCAATTGTTCTGGGTGGGTTGGACCAGACAGTACTCTCTGGGAGAGATCCCATTCACTGTCTGGGGAGCCTGGGTTTGCTTCCAGGAACACAGCCCTTCTGACACTGAGGGGCGGTGGGGTAGCCTAGTGGTTAAAGCGTTGGTTCGTCACGCCGAACACCCGGGTTCGAATCCCCACATGGGTACAATGTGTGAAGCCCATTTCCGGTGTCCCCCACCGTGATATTGTTGGAATATTGCTAAAAGCGGCGTAAAACCAAACTCAGTGAGTCAGTCAGTCAGTCTGACACTATGGGTAATGCAGAAGGCTGAAGTGTTGGGGTGTCTACACTTTCCTAACTGTTCGGGGTGGGTTGGACTAGACAGTGCTCTCTGGAAGAGATCCCATTCGCTGTCTCGGGTGCGTGTAAAGAGGGCTAGGGCCCCTCAGTTTATGATGATCCTTACCAGGACGACTATACCATGATAACCCGAACCCAATTTGCGACATTCATTTATTTAAATGTTCAAATAAAAATAACGCTTTTGTACAGCCTAACCTTCAATACACAAAACTACAAATATACGTGGAAAATCTCAATAAGTCAATAGTAAAAAGCTTGAGTAAACATAAAGGTTTAATTTTGACATCAGATCAATAGAGTTTACTTGTGTCTGTTCGACTGGTGTAGAATTCCAGAACGTAGGACATGCAACAGATCGTTCAGCCACAGTTGTTTTCGTGTCTGGTTTCGTTTCCGTGGTGACCACAATTATCTCGGATGTTGATAAATTTGCACCAGTTCTGTTGAGCAGTCATTATTCAAAGCCGAACATATCAAAGGCAGACGCTTGGATTGACTTGTTTGCTGGATCCGCCGTCTGATACAACTCAAGTATTATCTTAACAACGAAATTGATCCATAGTGACCTCACACTTGAAGGGCAAATAAACTGAAGATTAATGATTGCAAATATCAGTTTTACATTCAACCATTTTCCGAGACAGAAAACATCATAGCTATTGCAGAAGGGTATGTAAAAAATGTGATTATATCATCGAAAAAGCACTGAAATAAGGCGCTCTGTTTTCGGATTCAAAAGATAGTCATTTCTTCTGTTTTTCTTTTGTTTTGTTTTTGGCTTGTTGCTGTTTTGTTTGTTTTATGTTTGTTTTGTTTTTTGTATCGTTTTGGGGGGAGGGGAGGGGGGGGGAGCGTGGTGCTGAAGTGGAGCAGGACAAACACTTTCATTAGCTGATATGTTGACTTGTTTGTAGTGTTCATCCATCCTTAGAATCTTAGCAGCTAGTTGGAGGTTAATGTTTAATGCTTCCTTTGTGGAATTTGTGAGGGGTTTTCATGTATGTTTACCCCAATACTATTTTTCATTTGTCCTACTTTAAATGTGTTCATGCATGTGTGATTAAGTATGCCCTAGAGTTGTTTTTAATCTGCAAATTTGCTATTCTAAGTTAACCTGCCCCTAAAATCTTTACGTTTCATTGGAATATTCAAGCGAAACACACAATATGTCATAAAAAATCAAACATTTGCGAGTCATTTACACCAATTTGATATACTTTTGGTGATTGCAACCATGAGATAATTGCTTTTACACTGGATTATACAGTTGCTCTTCTAAAACAGGGTGAAACTGGCAAAAAGGGAAATAGCCCGGATGTAATATTCCAGATGAACAAAGCATGACTATAGAGTAGTCTCCGTTTGAGTAATCTTCTGTGTATTTATCAAGTGCCTTCCCAGCGCGTTACACTTTCACGTTCGATACACTTGCGGCAATCTCGCTACAACCAGTGTGGCAGTTGTGAAATCGTGACATTTTGACCTCTGTCCCAAAATGTAATTAATGACAGTTGGGTTTGTCTTTGGGAATACTTGCAGTACCTGTGAAATGGTTTTACAATTCACTTACTATTTCCCAGTTAAATTTAAGTTTGGTTTGAGGACTTATGGGAAGGCATGTGCATACACAAGGAGAGTAGTGTGACAGATATACATATTCATATGGAATTAATTATATTGACCCGGATCTAGTTTCGCTTTTGTTTTGCGATAACTCTGATGAGCGAATACTGAAGGAGCTCGTCTCCCAACTTTTCCGCCCATTTCATTCATGACACCAGGGACTGCCGTGACATCAGCAAGGGATACAAGCGGGGCGTTAAGATTCCCCTGGGTGCATGCGGTCGTTGGCGCGTACCACCAGCCAGCCGCCATCTTGGATGCACAGTTGTAACCACCGCGGTCGGAGTCGTAGGTGGAGAAAGGGGCATCGTAGATGTTGTCCACGCCGGTTAAAGAGTCTCCACAGTTCGGTTCCTCGGAAGAGAAGGAGCTGATCCTCATGTTGAAGAATTGTCCTCCTCCAAAGCTGCAACTGTCGTAAAACGTTTGACACGACGAAGATGGGGTTTCAAGGTAGATATTGCATCTCAATGATGCCATAGCAGAGATGAGGCTTATTCTGTGCAGCCCTAGCCAGAAGTTGTATCTTGGGTGACCGAATCCATGTATGTACTCCTCCAGGGACCGATTGAAGTTGACAGGAGACGCTTTTAGGTCTCGGCTCTGGATCGTTGTCAGGCCACCGTATCGAAACTCACAGAAGACTTCAAACGGTTCTTCAGCACCATCGGGCTGGATGAAGGAGATCTTTCTCCCCAGACTCTCTAGTTTCTGACCAATGTCATCTCCGCAGTCTGAAAGAGAAACAAAAGTCTCCGGTCGTGTACACGGAACACAGGTGTCAACGGTTTTCGGGTAGTTCCTGAGTAGGTTTTGACACAGAATATGTTTTTTCTGTCGATGCTTCTATACGACTTTGTCTTGACCAATTATATCCTTACCCAGAACCCATGAAGATCCGGGTTAGAATTGGTCTTCAGCAACCGATTCTTGTCGTAAGAAGCGACTAACGGGATCGGGTGGTCAGGCGCGCTGACTTGGTTGACACATGGCATCGTATCCCAATTGCGTAGATCGATGCTCATGCTGTTGATCACTGGATTGTCCACAGAGAGTCGCCATATAGCTGGAATATTGCTGAGTGCGACCTAAGTTTAAATTATGCTTTTCCATCATTTTCAGGTACAGAGTAATTATTGTTGCCTACCGAACCACCCCATCTTAGAATGAATCGTGTAGATCCCAAAACATGTCATGTGTCCCGTATCACAGATGATGTGGAGATAATATTTCCCAGCAGTTACTTCAAAGGCCAATTTCTTACAGCGTTTTATTTAAGATCCGGGTTAGAATTGGTCTTCAGCAACCTTTGCGTGTCGTAAGAAGCTACTTGGTTGACACATGTCATTGTATCCCAATTCATGGATCGATGCTCGTGATGTTGATCACTAGTTTGCCTGGTCCAGACCTTTATTATTTAACTCCATCAAATAGCTGGAATATTGTTGATTGCGGCGTTAAGCAATAAATAAACAAACATGCCTAACGGTAAAGATACATTTGATCACGATTAAATATCATCACAAATAAAATTTGCAGAAGTATACACATTATCAGACTGAATGCGGATCAATGTAATTTCACAACGATCTAAATTTGCCCAACGACGTTATCAATCATGTTGCCATGAGACGCCACGGTTAACTTGCATACTTACCTACGAGGCAGTTGAATACACTGGTTCATCTCAATCGATTCCTGTCATTGAGCGGGCACCTCAATTAATGATACATTGAATGTCTAACATGAGAAAGTATAGGCGCATGTCTGCACAGGGAAGGTTTGTATCGGGCGACCAAAATTATACCGCATTGCTTCAGTGCTTTCAAGCTTTACTTCACATAGTCCTTTATCCAATGAATTGTATGGATACTGTTGTCCAATCGCAGTCTACGAGACATTGGTCAGCACCTGTTTACTGGCAGATTAGGAGCACAGTCACCTCTTATTCGATGTAGATGGAATCGAACGACAAATCACGTCAGCGGTTTGTTTGATAATTTTTTTTATAAAAAATATTAAAAAATATATATAAAATGAATAAATATATAAATAAATAATAATAATAATAAATAATAATAATAAATAATGAATAAATAAATATATAAATAAATGAATGAATGAATGAATGAATTAAATAAATAGTTTTTTAATAAAAACAAAACAATAACACAAAATAAGAAAACAACAACAAAAAACAAAGATCATGGGTTCGTATCCTTTTTGTTCTGATCACGTCTCTGTGCATGTTAGCACGAAGTTTGTTTTATAAAGTGGTGTACGTTGAAGACGTGCATCACTTCCGGGTTTTTCAACGCATATGAAACTGATGCGCTCTGATGTAACTATAAAATACTGTTCAAAAAACGTTAAACCAAAGACTCAGTTTACGTATGACATACGGCTGTCTGCGTTTCCCACTGTCAGCCCGTCCTGAATTTTATTCCGAAAATGAAATAATTAAACATTTTATTATCTCAATTTTCCCCGTCTCTTTGGAAATTTATACCCATATGTGATTAAAACAGTATTACCCTTGCACAAAAACAGGTGAGCTTGATCTTTCCCCATCTACATTACTTAAAAATGTTTCCGGAGCAAAGCTACTTGATGTACGTCATAAATACTGTTGCCAAGTGATCTAGGTTATATAGAATTTCATAAACAAGTTACATGAATACTGAAATATAGTTTTCCCTATTTTTTCACATTTAAATTCTTTTTTTCGCCTGCCCAGTTTCAGGCTGGCTGAGGTTAGGGATAAGAGTGAGTGAGTGAGTTTAGTTTTACGCCGCATTCAGCAATATTCCAGTTATATGGCGACACTCTGTAAACAATCGAGTCTGGACCACACAATCCAGTGATCAACAGCATGAGCATCGATATGCGCAATTGGAAACCGATGACATGTGTCAACCAAGTCAGCGAGCCTGACCACCCGATCCCGTTAGTCGCCTCTTACGGTTGGGCATAAGAAACAAGAATGGCCTCATCCCTGAACGAAGACACAAGGTCAGTGTCATACAGACCTATGTTGTGTTACCAAGAGCAGAGACCATATACTGATATGGTCTCTGCCAAGAGGTTACAACATATGACAGTGACAGAAGATAAATTGAGTGAGTGAGTGAGTGAATGAGTATGGTTTTTACGCCGCTTTTAGCAATGGGCTTCAGACATTGTGCCCACGTGGGGAATCGAACCCAAGGCTACCCCACTGCCCCCATAAGATAAATAGAAAATACAATATAATATCATGCAAATCGATATTGAAAGATAAACTATAAACTGGCTATCTTAAAATAACCTTTACATGACCGTAAACTGTTAACCTCAAAACTTTGATGTTGGCATGACAACTTACGTTTTATGACATACTCGCATCTGTTGCCATAGTAACCAATTGGACACGTGCATGCCTCATCATCGCATTGCATTTTCTGAAAGAGAGCAAAAACAAACACAATAACAAACAAACATACAGTACAATAGAAATGGGATAGATGTTTCTAAATATGGAGCAGATTGACATTTAAATTACAAAATGTTACATAGAATTACCTTCTGGTAGCATGAGCAGACTTGACCAGTGTCGAAGTTCGGACAGTCCTTGCCATCCTCATACAACTTACACTGACCAGTTGTCGCATCGGTTTCGCAAAACTTAAAACGCCGACATTCTGAATCACCAAGACATTCCCTGCCGCACGTCATCAAAGTTAGACCGTCTATTGTCTTCTTGAGACGGAGATCTAAAATTTCTTCAAACAGTTCCGTTTTACGAAAATTTGAAAATTTGAAACCAATTCCAGTTCTGACAATTAGCAAAACTACTAAAACCTCTAAAACACCCATACTGGAGAAAATATCTACGCATCTGCGTCCTGGCTAGTCTTTTCTCTTCTTATAAACTGGTGTATATTTCTGTTCGATTATTGGTGGATTCTAAATGCATTGATGTTTGCCGTTTCATAAAAATGTCAAAGAAGATAATTTCTGTACACAATAGACAAGCAGAATTGTCACGTGTTTTAATCATGTTGATAGCGGACGTCAGAGAAGACAACTAATGCAGAGAGTGAGTGAGTGAGTATAGGTTTACACCGCACTCAGCAATATTCCAGCTATTTGGCGGCGGTCTCTAAATAATCGAGTCTGGAACAGGACAATCCAGTGATCAACAACATGAGTATCGATCTACGCAATAAAGGCACTGGGTGCACGCACGGTCAAATTGAAAATAGCGATTTCGAAATCCGGGACTTTTTCCGGAAAACTATTGAAATACGCAGTATTAAATTTCAATATATATGATTTATATATATAATATTATTTCTTATTGAGCCTACCTGAAACACAGTTACTTTTCTCCGTTAGGATACATCACACATTCCAACAATTATATCTTGCAAATGATATATAGCGGTAGTGAATTTCGTACTGTGTTTAAATATCCGTAGAACTACCTTCAGCATGATAATATCGTTAGAGTGACCACTGTCAATGTGATCAACGACTTCGGTGACGCGACCCAAAGAGAAACTCCCGAGTGCAGAGACCGGAGGAACGTGATATTTCATAGTACTGAAGGTGACAGTGTTGAATCTTGAGGAGACTCGGAGAGGACACTAAACTACATTTTCTGAGTCACGGGTAAATATCCAAAGATGTGTCCATAACAATTGCTCACGAAGTAAGTTCAGGCTTGCAAAGCTTTCACCTCATTGCCAGATGTCTGATTACAAAGGACAAAGGAAACATATTGAAAAAGACCCGGGAGGTACTCGGGAGGGATTTCTTCGACAACGGTAATGCCGCAATAGGGAGAAAAGGCCGACCCTCTGGTTAGACAGGTGAATTGTTTGGACCCTTAGGGGAGGTAACTCCCGTATCAGCATCCCAAAACAAAAAGTCGTGAGAGCATGGCAATGGTCCAGCTTTCAAGATTCTGTGATGCACCATCGACGGACTGCATAAACAGGATAACCCAGACACTCAGGTAAAGCAACCCCCTTGTGCCGCTGACATGACTACGTTCTCTTACGTACTATTTCTTGCAGACGTTTCACAGGTTTTGACCGGTTTTCGATCAGTCAACAGTTTTAGAGGTAAACGATTTGGGTTACTTTGTGTTTAATGCCGCACCCAGCAATATTCCAGCTATATGGCGGCGGCTTGTAAATAATCGGTCTTGATCAGAAAAACCAGTGAGCAACAGCATGAGCATCGATCTACGCAACTGGGATACGATGACATGTGTCAACCAAGTCAGTGACTCTGACCATCCCCCGTTACTCGCCGTTAGTCGCCACTTACGAAAAGCATGGGTTGCTGAAGACCAATTCTAATACCGATCTTCACGGGTTGGAGGTATACGAAAATAACTCGGCCGCTATAGTGGTGGCGCTATTAAGGTTTGATTTGTGAAGGGAAGGGACAAGCTGAAGAACATGTCACGACAATTTGTGAATACAGTGTGTTTTTGTCTAAATGTGCACGGAAGACTGACAGTTTTAATACTGACAAACATTTGAGTTGAAACATCTCGACTATATGCATATGATGATTCAGAAATGGTATGTTTAAGTTACAATATCATAAGACTGTTATCTCTGATGACCATCCACAGAAAGAAATATTTCTTGTTGCATATTCGAAAACCTTTCTAGCTTATACACGAGTGAGTGAGTTTAGTTTTACGCTGCTTTTAGCAATATTCCGGCAATATCACGGCGGGGGACATCAGAAATGGGCATCACACATTGTACCCATGTGGGGAATCGAATCTGGGTCTTCGGCGTGACGAGCGAACGCTTTAACCACTAGGCTACCCCACCACTCAAGTATATACACGAAAAGATAGTACTGACTTTGTAAATAAATGCTTTAATAGTATACGAGAATCTGGTGTTCATTTTCTCCTTTCGAGTATCAATATACTGACATATTTATGTCATGAAAGAACTGCATGTTCAATCTGCCTTTGACTTTGATACGTAGCAAGGCCATGACAGATTATATGTAACTATGGTAATACTAAGCTATTTAACTTCCTTTGAATAGAATGGAGTGAGAAAGCATGGTTTACGCCAGCATTTAGCAATATTCCAGCAACATCCCGGCGGGGGACACAAGAAAAGGGCTTCACACATTGTGCCCATGTAGGGAATCGAACCCGGCTCTTCGGCGTGACGGCCGGACGCTGTAACCACTAGGCTACCCCGCCACCCGTAAAATGGAAATTGATGTGAGAGATTTGGATGTTCCTTTACTTCTTTTGAGTATTATAAAACGTCTGAGGTTAGAACGCACACGTTTACTTCCCTTCCAAGTCATGACATTTAGTTGTGGGTGAGGGTGGTAGCCCAAGGCGTTGATTCGTCACAAAGATGACCTGGGTTCGATTCCCTAGTAACTCCTACATGGGCACACAGTGTGAGGCCTATTTTGGGTCCGATCCGCTGTGATATTGCTAAAAGCGGCGTAAAATCATACTCACTCACTTGCGATTTGACAGGTGAGTACAACGTAAACAAGTTCAATAATATGATCCATGATTCCGCTCTTATCAGTTCCGTCAGTGAAGATGCAAGTCAAACACTGATCGGAACGAACTGATTACCTGCTGTACAGAGAAACCTTGGTTACAATCGATCAAAGCCACTTACAATCATCCTTGTAATCGTCTTATCTAAGTATTATTCCACTTCCCATAAACGATCTGGTGGAACTAAGATAACTTACCTGAGATCGAAATTAATATTCAACGGTACAGGGGCAAATATTTGTCAGCCATTGTCTGGCACCACGCCCGGCTTGCTGCTCTAACCAACAGTGAAACTGGTTACAATATGCTACATGTACCCAACCAAACCAAAGACCCGTGAAGATCCGGGTTAGAATTGGTCTTCAGAATTGGTCTTTAGAATTGTCGTAAAAGGCAACTAACGGGATTGGTTGGTCAGGCTTACTTGGTTGATACATGCATCGTATCCCAGTTGCGCAGATCGATGCTCATGCTTTTGATCACTGGGTTGTCTGGTCCAGACTGAATTATTTACAGACCGCTGTCATATGGCTGGAATACCGCTGAGTGCGGCGTAAAACTAAATTCACTCACTCTCTCCACGACTCTCGTGATGATGATATTGCTACAGGGCGTATTATTTATAAAAATATGAAAATACTAGCAACCATTTTCATAAATATGGCTCCAAATTTAGTGACATTTTTATGAAAATTGAACTGAACACAATAATGATTTTTCAATTTCTCAAAACACAAAATGGCAGTGTTTGATCTGTCAAGTGGTGCCATATATGGTCATTGTTTATCACGCACATGTTTAGGGATCAATTTGGCTTCAGATCTGGAGATAAGCTACATGGATACGTTTTGTATGTCCAACGACGCTGTGTCAACTTGTACCGAACACAACAAGATGGAGATTGATAAGAATGCATGGAATTTGAATAATTCACTTCGCGAACATGCGGTCCAATAAAGGTCGAGGAAGATATAGCAACAACCCGACAGTGCTACATTTTTTTGTGGTAAAAAATGGCTTGTTTCGTGAGGGTGACTGCGTCCCTTCTAGCAAATGAGAGCGGTGGGGTAGCCTAGTGGTTAAAGCGTTCGCTCGTCACGCCGAAGACCCTGGTTCGATTTCCCACATGAATACAATGTGTGTGGCCCATTTCTGGTGTCCCCCGCTGTGATGTTGCTGGAATATTGCTAAATGCGGTGTAAAAGAATACTCACTCACCGTAGCAAAATAATTCCACCTTTGCCACAATGGACTGCTGTTTGTAAAAGTAAGTGAATGAGTCGCTTTGACCTTTGTTCCAGTTGTTAGGACATATCCTTAATGTAAGGGCGGTGGGTAGCCTAGTGGTTTAAAGCGTTCGCTCGTCACGCCGAAACCGGGTAGATTACAGCACACAATGTGTGAAATCCATTTCTGGTGTCCCCGCCGTGATGTTGCTGGGCTAAAAGCAGCGAACAGCTGTGCTTGAGACCAAAGTGTACAGCAGTGTATATGATACGGGTTGAACAGCTGTGCTTGAGACTGTAATTGTGACAACTGTTGTCACGTTTGTAACGTTTTCATCATGTTTGCCAACTGTGCTGTTCAAATCCAGTTTTCAAACTGTTATTTCGTTTTCTTTGGCGGTTTATGCATACAGCATTGATCTCAGTTTGGGCTATTTTCAACTACAACCAGGGGCGGTGGGGTAGCCTAGTGGTTAAGGCGTTCGCTCGCTCGTCACGTCGAAGACCAAGGTTCGATTCTCCACATGGATACAGTGTGTGAAGCCCATTTCTAGTGTCCCCCGCCGTGATGTTGCTGGAATATTGCTAAAGGCGGCGTAAAACCAAAACTCAGTCAGTAAGTCTTTTGGGTGAATAATTGACCGACCTTTGCATGTGTTTATGACCATAAACTCGCTAACTCAACTACCACCCATAGCTGCTGTAGTTATGGGTACAACTAAATGTATATGCACCTAGTCATAAGGAAAGCATCAAAGGATATAATTTTTATAGGTAGGTAAATTCGCAATTACATTCAACAATTAAATTTGTCACTTCATTTCTGTTTAATCGACGTTACTGTTTTTCAATTTGAGTTTGTTCTTATACACACAAAGCAAAGTGTTTCTTGAGACAACCAACCTGTGTGGTCCTTGTGTTTAGTTACGGATAAAACGAAA